CAATCTGTACTCTCAGCGCGCTGCCATCTTATATTAACTGAGCAGGGAGTGAGGTGGTGGGGGCTCCAAGCCTATATTTGCCTTGGTCCCCAAATGCCTTGATACGGCCCTGGATGTGGGACTGACTTCTGGGGTGATCTGATTCTATCACATGTATAAATATTAAATGCTTATATATTATTGCTTTTCACTGGTAAAAATGATTATTGGGGATAAATCTACCTATTTTTTTCTTTTCAAGCACTTTGTTTTGTTTTGTTGATTTTATTTGAATAATTACCTGCCCTTTCTCTCTCTAACCTTCCTGCATGCTGCATGTTTTCTCCGTCTTCCAGAAAAAACTGTTTCCTAGACTTCCTACTTTCTAACGATCAGCCAAAGAGATCTTCACATGTGCGGCGCTCCAGCAGTAATGAGTTGAAATCACCGGGGCACAGATTATGAACTCAGCTGAGGCAAAGCCCGTCAGAAAAGCACAAAATACCAGAGAACATGCGCTGATATGAACGATCGCAAGTTAATTATTTTGTTTTAGTGGAGCGATTTTGTGAATGTTGCAGCGGCCGCGTGCAGGACGCAGCTGGAGTAGTTGAGCCGTTACCGCTGCGTCCTCTCTGCCCGCAAAGCTGAGTCCATAAATAACGTAATATATGCAGATACTGGATCTTTCTTCGGGTTTCCCGCAATTTGAATTTTTAAGGAACACATCTTGATTCTGGGTTTAAAAATGCATTGTAATTACCGCGTCACTGACAATTGTACCGAGTAAATATTACCATTTTCTTTCCCTGTAATGCCTTACATTACCACATTACAGCAAAAAGCAATGCATTACAGTAATTAATTACTTTTGTACCACATTACTCACAACACTGGTGAGGACATCCTCATGCTGTCATAACCAGATAACAGGAGTTATCAGGTGATCAGCCAGGCTAATGATGAGATTCAGAAAGAAAACAAATCCAGGACAGTGTACAATAATAATATGTGGTGTTGCTCACCTCATGTGCTCTTATAGAATATTAACGTGTGCCTGCCTCATGGTGTAGCATCCATATTTAGCTGTGTCCTACAATAATGCAGGTTATTAGTTAATGTACTTTTGATAGCAAAAAACAAAATATTTAATGTAAAAGTTGTATACCAGGTGAATCAGCTCACGTCACCAAGTGTCACAGGACCAGAATCAGTAGTCTCCTTTCTTAATGTCATGATGTAATCTAGCTCCAAGCTCACAGCAGCAACACACGTGTAGCAATAAGCTATGAAACAAAAACATAGATGATGTTAAAACTCAAAAGTTGTAATGAAGATTACATGATGATTAAAAATAACTCACCTTAACTACACCTGCAAGGCTTCGTGTTAGTCTGGACCATTTGTAGCTGCAACAATCAGTCTGACAGCAGATTTCTTGGGTTCATTTAGCCTGAAAAAAATATTATTTATAACATCACAGTGTTGTGGGAGGTCGCTTCCAGAGATGAGAAACACGTGGAAAGCAGAGCAAGGATGGAGCTACAGGGTTTTCTGTTAGATCAGGAGGCCCTGAGGTAAAACGGGATGTTGGTGTGAGTCTGGGAAGTTACTCCTCTCCAGTGGTGACCAGCCAGGCTGAGATGTGAGAAGAAAAAAAAACAGAATACAGAGTACAATATTTTTATTTAGAATGTTTTTACCTGGATCAGTTCATAGAGCTTGTCCTGTCATTCAGATGGAAGCTGCTCAGAAGCTCTCTGCCACACCCGAGTCTGTTCAGGAGTGGGGAAGCTGCACACTGCTGCTGGGAGGTTATGCGAAATATAAAGAAACAGCAAATATATTTATAGTTGTTTTTAAGAGCAGCAACACACGTGTGTAACAATAAGCTAAAATATTTACATATTGTTAAAACTAGAAGGTACACGCACACACACACAAACACTCGCTTCGATCCTGCGGCAGTGTGGACTGATTGTCTAAATTACGTGAACCACGTAATTGAGACAAACCATTTATAAATATAGCAAATATAGCTGCAAAATTACAGGTAGGGAACAATCTTTAGAAGCTGTTAAAAGTAATTATTTAGCTTACTCACCTCAAATTGGGCCCAAAATCTCCGTTTTGAGGAAGCAGCAGTCGGCGGGATCCAGCTAATTACCGGAATGGCCTGGACTAATTTGTGAAATGCTCTTCAAACTAGCATAACCCGGTTCAAACTCCATCCGAAATACGTAGCATTGTTCTTGTTAGCCATTGGCTAAAACTGACTCAAAATAAACGTGTTCTATACTTTTGAGCTGAAGATGGCGCTAGACTGACGCTGTTAGACAGAATTTAGAGTTTTCAAAGAAAATGCAACAAAATGCAAAAATAATAACTACACATGTCTACAGCACTATTAGACACTCATTTATACTAGTTATCAGCTAAAAAAAAGTTGATTTTGATGTGACGTGCTCTTTAATTTAGATGGCAATGGACTTCTATGTCTCTAAGGATGCTGTGTCAATGCCCAACCTTACCAATTATATCTCCTTATCGATTTACAACACACTGCCTGCCTCTAACCCAGGCTGTCCTCTGTAAGTGAGTCTATTTATCCCATTAGCGTGTTTCTTCCTTTCTCCGTGGTGGTGTGCTATCCATTTTACCAGAGTTTGCCCCACACATTTTCCAAAGCTGCTCCTACATCAATCACCACCTTTTTACATATGCTCACATTACAGGATTCCTAACCCAAACATCAGGCAGAATGTTTGTAACACTGCAAAGCACTTTCTGGAAAAGTCGGAAAGTTTTTAATAACGCATCAAAACTTATATTTTATTTTGTTGACTGACTGAACAGTTCTTGACTGGCTTAGGTGAAAATAACATGACTAGACCTCAGTGAGCAAATTTCAGCTGGAATTTGATGCAACACACTCAAAAAGTTGGAGGAGAGGTGATGAAATAGAGGAAAAATGATAGAATATCCTAGTTGAAATGGTACCAGGATGGGTTGGAAATGAAAAGGAGCCTCCACAGAGGATTTGGTGTTGGTAAGCAGCATTTAATTTGAACAGTAATGGGTCATTCTGTGTGAGAGATCATGTAGGCGTACGGTTCAGACTGCACATATCCTTTTAGCCTGCAGTCATGACAGTGTTCGGCTTCTAATTTGTTGTCACCAGCAGAAAGAGTGACTGGAGCCAGGGTCTTTAGGTTCTGAATAGTGACACATTAGAAAACATTATTTCATTATTCTACCTCAGTTTATGCATTTGCATCTGCATTTGTCAAACGTTGACAATGATCAAAATGTATATTGTAGCTTTATCTATAAAAACACTCACAAGGTTAACTGGCCAAGGACTGCTCGCATTTTACAAATATTAGCCAGGTAATGAGTCGTGGTATTCTTTCAGTAATGCTTTTCAATAATTGTATGTTTAGATAATTGTTTCTAAGTGCAGCTTTTCTCCTGACTGTCAACAGTAACTCGGAAGGAAGTCTCTAATGGTCTTTTGGCTAGAGGCTGACAAAGGAAGGAGGGCCAATCAGAGAAACAAGGAGAGCTGTTAGCATGAATGAAGCAGGTGAAACAACCTGGATTTTTCCACTCAGACTTTGATTTCTGTACATCAACATATTTACAAGCTGACGTTTTTCTGAGGACTGTCCTGCATGAGTTATAGTACACGCATGTGTAAAATCCCATGTTTGGTGATTCTGATTTAGTTAGCTGCAGAAAACACAAGTCCTAGATGTTACAGTAATAATTTTGTCTGACCACATGTCTTACTGACTTTTGACCTGATGTCGACTCGAAACAATGCTGGGTGAAAAATAAAACTTTTTATAGTTTGCATTGAACACGTCTTTACATTTAATTAGAAACCATAGAATGTGAAAGAAATGTGAAATGTCACCTTAATGGATCTTTGACTAAATTTAACCAGAAGATCGGATCTTTTTATTGCAGGGATTGGGCTCTTTAATGAAAGAAGCATTACTTTTTCTTCTCTTTGCCTAGAAATGCAAAGATAAATGCCAGTTTTTTTTAGTCTGTTCAGTAACATTCTCTTTTGACATCATCATGTTTTTTACGTCAAGACATGATGTCTCAGGTAAAGATGAAGAGAAAGACAAAGAAGAAGAAGACAACAACACATGGGGAAGGGGCTATTCTTGTCAGTTTGTGGTAGTGCTTACTGAGGCCACCAGGGCACAATGGTAATTTTTTTCTTGTTTTCAGAGCACCAAGATACAAACCAATGGTTTTTTTTTTTCAGAAGATGCTAACGCATATTAACATTAATTTTATAGTATTTGTACTCTAGTTACAGGTAGACTCTGACACAAACAACCTCAAAACTGATCAACAATGACTCGGAGTGTTTCTCAATGTCAAGGAACCGTTGATATTTTGGTCCCACCTCGAGGAGATACATCATCAGGTACCGATGCGTCAGTTCTCCGTTTGTTAGCCATTTAGATAGCTGACCAAGGATACACAAGAGTTGTCTTGTCTGGCTTTGATTAAAAAAATTACCCAGAATACAGTACGGTGTTTTCAAAAGGATGGTGGATCAGGAGCCAGCAGCTACTTCATGGGCAACTTTCCAGTTTAAATGTAAGTCAATTAATTGAAGCTATCAGGCTGACATCTAAAATGTTTTTAGATCCAATGAAGTTATCTATTATTTGTGTAATTATCAATATCTAGTGATTAGATAAAGAAGGAAAAAGTATAGATATAATAACTCATTAGTTAGTTCATTATAACCCAGAAATGATTAATGCTGGGTTGAACATAGATACCAAACAGTTGGGTAGGATCAACCCAAGGATTTGGTTAACAACAACCCAATATTTGGGTACCCAACTCATTGGGTTGATTGGGTAACCCGATTTCCTGTGTTAAATTAGCCCAGTGGCTGGGTTAAAATTGGGTTGTTTTCAACCCAACGTTTTTTAGAGAGCACACACACGCGCGCGCACACACACACACACACAGGTCCCTTTTCTTACCACCATCTTGTTGAGTGACACCCAACAATCGGACGGGAAGTCCTGCAGCATAGGAACAAGGAACTGAAGGCAGCCATCCCAGTGGCAGAGCAGAAGCATCATCCCGATCAGGTTGATGATTCGCATCACAGCACTGGCCAGGTCATAGGTCATGTGGAAGATCTGTCAGCAGAGATGATGAGGAAAGTTACATGGAGAGGGGGAGAAAGAGGCAGGCTGTGAGTGTGATGTGAGAATGAGCAGTTGGTGTTTAAACAGGCAGTCACAGCTGAGTGAATGGTAAACACAGATAAATCTGTTTCCACTACACATCCAGAACATTGCAGCACACACACTTATCTGTTGCCTCAGATAAAAGCTAACTAGTTGCGATGTTCAGGGACCATCCAGAAACCACTTACGCTCAAACCTACCATGAGCTGGAGCTTCCTGGAACACCACTGTCTGTCTACAGTGAAGCCAGTTTTACATCTCAAAGGACTCCGAGGAAAAAGCCTTTGCTCCAAATATGATGACTTCAAACTCAAAAAACATTCCAGCTGCCAACTTGAACAAGACAAGTTTCTTTTGGAGAAAAGTTTCATGGTCAGACAAAACAAATACAGTTATTTGGCCACCATGAAAGGTGAGGTTTTAAAATCTACCAAACCAACTCTAAAACACAGTGGTGGTAGCATCAAACTGTGGCACAGCTGCACAAAGTAGATGAAGCAATAAAGAAAGGACCTTTTTGCTTCACCAGAAATCACCAGCTAGGTGGTTGTAACTGGTGGAGAAGACCTTTGGAAAACAATAAAAAATCGGACATTTTCCCTGGCTGTGAACTCATCATGGCTACGTGCACATTCACTCTAGCAACAAATGATTTTCCACATCGATGTTTTTTTTACTTTTAGAGTCCTAATTTTTAGATCGATTGAAAAAGTGATCAAACTTCATGTTCATAACATTTCTATGGGATAAATGACATTGAGACAAGATCAGCATCGGTAGACTAGAGCTTAACAAGAATTGAAAGTCATCTGTGTGTCTATACTAAATATCACCATGATGCTCCTTCAGAATCAGAGGCTTCCTAACTCTAACACTAATCTATTTTGTCTGTTTGTCATCATTCAGAATTTTCTTTTTTCATCTGGTTTTGTAAAGACAGGAGATAGCAATCTGTAGTTTCTTTGGTATGCACCCAAAATTACCAAGTTTAGCTAAAAAAACAAGTATTTGTGGCATTTATGCTGAAAATAGAAATGACAGACTAAAATGCCCAGCGTATTCTTTTGGGAAGGTTCATAACTCCGAGTAGCTGATCCCATGATCTCACGTGTGTGTGTGTGTGTGTGTGTGTGTGTGTGTGTGTGTGTGTGTTTTTTTTATTTTAATTAAAACAGAAGACTTTTAGAGGCTTAAGCCGGGCGTACACTGTGCGAATTTTTCACTTTTTGGAGCCGATTTTCCACTCGTGCGAGAATCCACGAGATCGGGGCGAGTTTTGCGCCGAGCGTCGTGTAGTGTACAGGGGGTTACGAGAGGCGATTGACACCACGTGACCAGCTACCGATCAGCAATCGTGAGCTCGCACAAACTTCTGGCGTGTTTAATATTTTGCTCATCCCTCGTGAGGGTATCGCACTGTTGAAGCGGCGCTGCGAGCAGCTGCGACCCAAAATGTATCAGAACCGCTCACGGCGCATACGCAATCCTGGATCGACACCGCCCGCCCGCTATTTCCCTAATAACACACGTTGTTCGTTTTTATTTCTACACGTTTTTTTACTCACAAAGATTGTCAAGAAAGCGTGTTTGTCGTGTTCATGTCAAATTAAACTGATCACAAAACACAGATTCACTTTCTTTATTTCGTTTTCCTCATCCAACCCCCATAAATCCCTGTGTGTCCTCCTGCAGCTCTCCCGAAGGACAACAGGCAAAACAAAAAAGTCTGACGTGTTGAGTAAAAACTGCTGTTTTTTGCATATTTTTAGGGCCGACGTGTTGCTACCAGACGTACAGTGTGAGCAGTCAGATAGCATCCGAGAACTGGGTCGTGCAGAGTGAGCACATGACTCGTGAGATCTGCTCTGCAAGGAAGTCGTACAGTTTGAGCTGAAGCTGAGTGCTACGAGTGAAAAAGTCGCACAGTGTACGCCCGGCTGAATGCCATGGGGAGGAGGCTGTTTCTGAGCATCACTGCAGGGTCAGGGCGTGTTGCTACTGTGTGTGTCTGCATGTGAGGTTAGCTTTGCATGGTGAGGAATCCTCCTTAAACTGGGCCAACTGGGTGCTTTGCTAAATCATTAAAGTAAAAGTGAATTCCATCATGAGGAACGGGGGAGAACTGTCCAGCGTGGAAGAAATGTGGGCCAGATAACGCCTGTCTGCTTAAGGTAAAGATAATTACATATTCATGCATGCTAGAAATCCCTGCTTCGTGGGTCTGTGTCTTGGTTTGTTGCTATTTTCTCACTTGATGCAAGAAAATCATCCTACATTGGAAATAGGCCAAATGTGTGAGTCTGGAGACTCTGTATGGATTTAAAGTCAGGAAGCAGTCTGGTCAGGATGAACTTCTGTGACTCATCCCATCACCTCCATACACAAATACACAGCTGAGGAAAAGGATTTGCTTTCTTAAAGATTTCTTTTGTTTTTACTTTTTTTGTCACACTCAAATGTTAGCAAACAAATATCAGTATAAGACAAAAATAACCATAAAATGTTGTTTTCAAATGATTGTTTCATTTACAGGAATAGAGGCCATCCAACCTAGTCCTATGTGAAAAAATAAGTGCCTTTATTTTAAAATCATGAATTAATTTTGATTAATAACATTAATTAGGTTAATTAATTAGATTCAGCAATAAGAAAGACCATGTCCAGTAAAAAGAACGTCCCACTTCTAGCAATAGATTATTGCTGTTGTTTTATTTTTATTTTTTACTTTTTTATTTTATTTAAAGCAAGTACAATGTTGTCCAAAGACGAAGCTCATTCATTCTTGTGTCTACAATTAGCATATCTAGCATCTTTCTAACGATTATTGGTCTTAGACCCATTAGGAGGAGAAAAGGCAACACAGTGTGAGGCCTGCCCTGTGATTAGAAAGCCTCCCCATTATGATTAATGAAGCTCTAGGACTAATGTTCCCCTCGACACCTTAACAGAACCTGGCCATGTGTCACTGTCGGAGTGCAATCTGGGCCAAAGCACATTACTGTGACTACAAGTCTCTGAGTGTAGAGAAAGAAAAAAAAAATCCATTTCCTATTCATTTATTTTGTGGTCAAATGCATTCAGAGGAAACAAAGATGAATATTGGCCCTGCTGCCAGTCCGTTACCTCAGACCCACTCCCACCCGTTGTCTCACTCATGAACATAAACAGAACACATTTGGGCCATTCCCATCTGTACCTGGTCGGCCCTGCCCGGATAGCTCCAGTCGGCCCCAGCCTGGCCCCGTTGATTCCACACATCCTTGCTTAGGTATGCAAGGAATGCAGTCAGAGACACTTTCAGCTTCTAGGTAATCAGCATGATAATGAATGATAATGAATTGAGCATGCCTTAAGCCCATGTGGGCTGATTCGACCCACCAATCAGAGGCTTGCTGTAATGGAAGGTGTGAATTTGCTGTCAGCAGTGGGTGTGTTGGTCCTGGTCAGCCTGAAGCAGACCCCCTCAGAAAGAGGGCTGAAAAACACTGACTACGTTTACATGCAGCCAATATCCGGGTTATGATCGGGTTAAGGTCGGTATTCGGGTTTCTGAGTTGATCAGAATAACCCGTTTACAAGCATAAATAGAAAGAGTTACCCCTAACTTGCATAACCCGATTTAAATGCGGACGTTGGGGTAGCGTCAGGACGTGTGGACTACGTCCAGACGCAGTATGCGTCATTTCCGGTTCTTCTTGTTCCGGTATCCGTGAAAACAACAACATGTTTCCCAGTTCGGAAGAGATAGCGACCGCGTTTGTTTGCGCTTTAGTTTCCTCGTCACTCCAAAAGTGCGGTGCTGTGCCGCAACTCGCCATGTTGCTCCCAACTTGTTGTTTACTTCCGGAGTTCTGGCGCATACAAGACGTCTCGCTACAAGATTCCTTGTGAACAGAGCATGCGCAGAACACACGCTTTGATGGGGATATCCCGATATGCGTTTACACGACCAAACATTCGGGTTAGAAAAGGGTTACCCCAGGTGTAGTAACCGGGTTTTTAAAAACCCGGTTATGAGCATATCCGGGTTTCTGGCGGTGTTTACATGGACCTGCGGAACCGGGTTTTTGTGAATATTCGGATTTTAAAAGGGTTACTGGCTGCATGTAAACGCACTGAGTCTTGTTGCACCCTGAAAAAAGGCAGGCCGCCAAGATATGTAAGCAAGCTATGCTATCCGGGCCGGGCCGGGCCGACCTGGTACAGATGAGAATGGCCCAAAAGATTCAAGGCTCCTGCCTCAGGAAATTACTCCTAATATTCCCAGTCATGCTTGTGTGATCTTTTGTGATGACCACACAGAACACAAACACACACTGGATGAAAAAAAAAAATGCATCACCAGTGATTTAAATAACTTTGAACATGTTTGCTTTCTAATTGTCTGCTTTCTGGTTATCTCTCCTAACTGTGTTGTGAAATCATCACAAAACGGGATTTTTAGGGAAACCCAGCAGCAGCAAGTGAACGTAAGCTGAGCTGGACTGGGGAGAACGAGCCAGCCGCGTTTGAATCAAGGTGAGCCAAGCCCAGCATAGCTGAGCTCAGCAGTTCAGGCCAGAGCCACTGTGCACCGGAGCAAGTTAGAACCGGTAACTTTGGGTCTCATGATGCTGAAGTTACCACTCTGTAATCAGAAGAGCAGTGGTTATTTTCAGAACAGAGGAACAGATATTTGATTGGTATGTTTTGTTAGTCAAACTGAGTTTGTACACAGATAAAAGAGAGCACACACTGAGGAGACCAGGGGCTAATTGTGTTTGCACAGGAGAGAAAGGCTCCTGATGGATGATAATGCATCTATCAATAGATCGGCCTTCATTTCTGATCTACGCCACGGTGCAAAAGTGCTGAGCCATCACTAATGTCTGCACACTCTAATTCCCGAAGCCAGGCTTTTATGTAATTTTTAACTAATCTTCAGAAACATTCCTCCTGGAAACATTTCA